AACAACAACAGGGAGGATGAAATCCAATTGGTCACTCAACATTCAACAACATGGCATTTATGAAAGATTTGTGGCCAGGAAACTTGCTGGATGTTGATAAAATGCTCTGAACAAGTATGTAGCCTTTCTCTAAGGGCAAATAGTTCTTTAAAAAAAAAAAAGAAATAAAAATGCCCAGAAGCAAATAATCTTCATATAGTTCCTTCCTTAGTTGAACTATAATATGGGCATAAGAAGGAGAGGAAGCATTGATCCTATGAACATCTATAAAATGAGCTGATTAGTTAAAAGCAATTTTCTGCAGGTCTGTTAGAAAGAAAACTGATTGCTTTGAAAGACCCTTTCTTTGCAGACTGAAACAGTGGCATTAACTGTAGAAAAGCTTTTTTTTTTTTTTTCTTTCCACCTCATGTATCTTTAGAATGAGAATAAAGATGCATACCTGATACCTGCATCTCTTGGATTTACCTAGTACCTTTCTTTTGAATAGCATGCAGTACCTTCAAGAGTATGATCAACCGTCTTTGCAGTGTCTTCAGGAGATGTGAGTTGGAAATGACATGGAAACTGAGCTCAATGAAGTGGCTGGCTGCAGTCATTGAAGTGAGGCAGTAATTACTTAAACCCGGGCTTCCTGATTCCCAATTTATTCTATTTCCTTGCCCTTTAGCCTAGTTAGTTTTTCACTGAGCTTACCAATAGAGAATGTTTATGAATTAACATAATGTCTTTATTTGTGTTAGCCTTACTTTATAAAGGCAGCGGAAGATGCTTCCGCCTCCAGATCTGGTAACTTCATTCATTATACAATAGACAACACTGCCAAGGGGTAGAGCAACCATATGAACACACTGCCTAAGCGCTTCATGATAAACACTATTTACACCTCTGTTGAACACAATTCCATTTCTTGTCTATTCAGTCACTAGGAAAACCAACCCTGGGAACACCAGAGGCATCTGGAAAAGCAACAAATTCATATATTCCGAAGTCATCCAGAGCATCTTCATGGCCTGAAATGGAAAACAAATACTGCTCACAACTCAAACCTTGAGTTGCAATTGTTGTTGACTTTTTTTTTTTTTTTAATGTTTGTAAACTTACATTTTTGGTTACTTTAAGTGGTGTGTGTACAAAACCAATTTAACATAGCTCTGGTGGCGTAGTGCCTAAGGCATTTAACTGCTAACCAGAAGGCTGGCAGTTCAAACCCCTAGACATTACTTGGAAGGAAGTTTGGGCAATCTACTTCTGTAGAGATACCGCCGTGGAAACCCAAGGAGGGGTTGCTGTGAGTCCACATCAACTCGATAGCAGTGAGTTTGGTTTGGTTTGGAGTCCCTATATTATGTTGCCATTAAGCAGTATTGGAAATCACTTCTTCTAA